GGAATCATATACATTACCATTATCAGTAGGGAGAAGACATTTTAAACACTTCTAGTAGGAACCCTCTCACTCAGAAAATAAAAAGAGATTTTAAAAATACTCTTTCAAATCCTCAGTTTAGAACTCCCCACTGAAATGCTGACAGCCCCCATATTTTATATATATTATTAACATCTTTCATAGTTTCAGAGATCCTAAACTGCTCCTGCAGTGTACGTTGAAGCCATATGTACAGTATGTTTTATAATCACTGAAGGCACACCCTGAGAAGTGAATTTGTTTCCATGACAGAGCAGAACCAAAGAGATTTTAGCATTGCTCTGATCTCTTTAATCGCTCTGTTGGTGTGAGCATGAAAGAAAAAACAGACAAAAGTTTGCTCTCAAAAATATCAGAGTGCAGTAATATTACCTCCTCCCTGTTACTGTCTCAAAACGATCCCCAGCAAAAAAACCCCAAACATTACAACATATGAGTAAAGAAACGTTAAGTATCCTGACTCTGTTAAGAGCAGGTATCCCAAGAACAAAAGCTTCATCTTTCCTGTCTGCACTTTAGTGGAGGAAGGCAGGAACACAGTTTCTGTCCTGATCAACGACTTCATATCCCAGAGAACATTTGGTTTGACACATCATTGAATTCCCTCTGAGGAACATGTTGCTAACCGTGGTCCTACTCAGCTTCTACTTTGGTCTGAAATATGCTTAACATCTAATTTCTCAGATATTTATAATGGGGGACCAAAGCTACATTAAGAAGTAGGATGTAACTGCTGTCTTTAAAACCACGGTGGTATACAAGCAGGCCACTTCCTGGAATTTAACATCCAGCTGAGAAAAACAGCCAAGTACTATCAACCACAGTAAGAAATAATGTATGCAGTTATCATAGGATAAATAAGGAGGATGTTGAGTTTTGAAGGGTAAATTCTTTAATCTCAAATTATTTCAACAAAATCCAATCTATTTATCCGAAAACAAACAACACCAAAAAGACTGCAAGTGGCAAATAAGACTGAGCAAGCGTACTTGTCAAAATGAAGTATTACCTTTCAAGTGTAGGAAAATGACAAATGAGCAATTGAGGATTACTATCCTTTATTTAGAACTGAGAAAAATGAGTCTGCAAGAAAAAAATCTTAAGCTTTTTCTGCATGTTGCTTTGCTTCAAGTTAAAGTTCTGCAAATATACAGAGAAGAAAAAATGCCTTCTGCAAGGTATTCAGCTTCTCGGTTCACTTGCAGACCTGCTATGTGAATCTTGTTAAGACAAGCTCATGTTAATTAGTCTCTGGGAACTAGAAAGAGGATTTCTGCAGCTGGGTTTCCTTTTTTAGGCAGCTGGTAGGGCTTATCTTCAGCAAAGAAGAACTTCTAATACCCAGTAATGTTAAATATTATGTGTATGGGGGAATTTGCTATCATTAGAGTGCTGACATAACACAAACAAGACCTTCCCTAGGATAGGATTTATGTATTGGGTCACCTCAGTACGTGTGAATAAACGTAAAAACGAAACCAGGTGAACAGCACGTAGGTCCACCGAGCTTCTATAATTCCCTTACCTGCTTCAATAGGTCAGCTGTCACAGGTAAAAATGGTTGTGATGAGCAAGTAGGGGGTGCAGGCAGGAGTGCCTAAGGGTCTCCAGTCTGCTGTTTAGAAATAAAAGGTAGTGTTCTTTGCACCAAAACTTGGCTGGGAAGATGGTCTCTGGCCACCACAACTTCTACCTGCAGATGATGTTCTCCTTCAAAAGCTGTTAAGCAGGAATAACTGCTGTTAACACCAGGAACTGTGCAAACACCCGGGAAGGCAAGCTGCGCCTACACGCTGCCCCAGGGAGACCACCGGGAAAGAAGCGAGTTCCTGGCCCCACCGCAGCA